TACCCACATTCTATTACCTGTGGTGAACTTTCTAAAATACATATCTGCTTCTTAAGCACCTGTGGGCTACAGAATAATGCTCCAAATCCTGAGCTCGGTGGTCAAGGCCCTTGAAACAGGTGGCCCACCCCAAACACCTTCTGATCTCACCTCCTGCCACTCCCAGAGACACATTCTGTAATTTGAGCTACATCAGAGTATTACCAATTCTCACCCCTCTACCTGTGCTCTCTGCTCCCTCATCGCTGAATGTGAATGCCTACTTAGCCAAGGACACTCATTTCAAACATTCTCTCCTCTGGGGTGCCATCTTCACCCCAAATAAACAAAACAGTTCCTCTTTGAGTTGGCTGTCTGTTGTCCCACTTTAACCTCTATTATAATGCTTATCTTATATTCTAATTATATGTTTGCCAGCCGGCTAGATTCCTTAAGGGCAAGGATATATTTTGGAGTCCTCAGCGTCTCCTGTCTCCCAACGCAGTGTATGACTTGAGTGATTAGTCAATTTTTAGTGGAAGAGGCAGCAGTTCAAAGCGCCTTCTGGTGCCTTCCATGTGAGAAAACGGCAATCTCATCCCTTTAGAATAGCCCCTCTCAATCCCCTGGTCAACGTCCTCTTCCCTGCAGTGACTGGGGCTGAGGGGTTATGGATACTGCCTTGCACTGGTGTCTGGCCCCCTCTTGAGGGTGGGGCAGGGGACAGATCCAGTAGGGTCTGGTCACCTTGGCCCTCAGTATGAAATCTGGAATAATAGCTGAAAGAATTTGGCTTTTGGGGCAACATCAAAAGAATTTTCTTACATCTGTAAATCTTTCCAAAATCTAGAAAAGCAAATACGCATTTCCCCTCTCAAACAAGCTCCATGAGATCAGGCCCTTGCCTACTGTCCTCCACGGGACCTCCAAGTCAGACCTCAGTCCAGAGTGGGTGCCCAATACATACTTGCTGAGTGAATGCCAATTTGTAGGGCTATTTGTAGGTTTTAAGAACCAGTCAACTCCACTGCCCAGCAACAGAGGAGCACTTAAGTATGTAGATGTATTTGTTTATTTCTTACCCTGTCTGATTACAAGGGTGAACTCTGAAGCACTCAGTGAAGCCTTACGTTGCAGTTAAAAACATTGTTTACAAAGAGTTTATCACATGAAAATGCCTTCTGTCCTAGTGTAAAGGGTGAAAGAAGTATGCAATAGAAATGAGTAATTTATCACACTCTCTAAAGGCTAGCAAACAAACCTCACAAGCAAAAGACAGTCAGGGGAGGGAAGAAAATGTTAACAGACTGGTGCTTCCCTCTATATTTTAGTCTCCTCTATTTTCCAACTTTTGAAAACTATAGGCAATATTACTATTACTAATAAGAGACAGGCACTTTCTTTTTCAAAAAGACATTGAGGGGATGGGCCCTCCCTATTGGCGCAGCGGGTTAAAGCACAGCGCAGAGGCTTAGGCCATTTCCGCATGAGTTCGATCCCCGCCTGCCCCGGAGGAGATCCACATGGCGAGGCAGACCTCTCCTGACCCGCCAGCTGCTTCCCTCAGCAGTGTACTTCGTTGATCTGCCTGTTCTGTACCCCATTCTGTCTCTGGTGAATCCTCTCACCCTCCGCGTCTATGGCCTGTACCCCAGTTCTGTACAAATAAATAAATCTTAAAAAAAAAAAAAAAGACATTGAGGGAGTAGAGCAGAAAGACTGCTTGAGGCTCAAGATCTGGCCCCTAGCCCCACCCGAGTGCCCAGAGATGCCCTCAGGGTTTGTGGCCAAATTAGAAGGCGCCCCAGGACCTGTGGCTCAGGCCTTCCCCGCCCCAAACCACAGGGCACAGGCAGGGCAAGGGAGTACCATCAAGTAGCTCTGCCTGCTCCAGAAATGACAACTCCAGGGAGGCAGCACATCCTTCAGGTGACCGGGCCTCCCCCCAAGGCACTCGGAGGATTAATTCTGCCCCTCACGAATTCCCAGAAAGGACTCAGGAAGGGAATTTCCCAGACAGGCAGACAGACAGACACCTCACCACAGCTCCCGCCACGAGCACAGATGTTTGCCTGGGGGTGGCGGTGCGGAGAGCCAGTGCAGGCTCACGACTCTGCGGTGAGAGGAAGCCCAAAGCAAGAACTAAGGCAGACCCGTCTGGGCAAGCCGGGGGCTGGGAGGAGGAGGGGGCCCCGTGGGAGCTGTGATGATCTGCAGGTCGAGACACCAAGTCCAAGGCCCTTCTGTTGTCTCTCGTCTAGACCCCACAGTGCCTGCAACTCTGCCTCGAGCCACCAGGCGTCGCAGCGGCTCGCGGGCGTCACAGCAGTGAGCGCCAACGGGGTGGGTCCGCAGACTGGGCTACTGCCCTCAGCAAGTCTGTCCTACTATTGATGGGTTTCCTATTTCTAGGGGCATCCTGAAAGCTGGGATTTCACCTCAGACTCTCCCTTACACTTCGGCGCTATCACACGAACGAACTCCCTCCAAATGCACAAATATAAGGTTAGAAGAATAACGAGATCAAAGCTCTAAGTGAGAATGTTGGGGACAGCACCAAACCCTACAAGAAGGGCCCAGAAATCCTCCTCCACCCCACCTCTTTTCCACCCGGTTCACTCCATACCTAGACGCAGGTAGGGCGGGAACGGACGTGGCCCAGCCGGGCTGGGCCGAGCGAGTCCGAACCTGCCCGGCCCGAGCTGCGCAGCCCAGGGACACTACACGTATCCACCTAGCAGTCCCTGACAGTCGGATAAACGTGGAACGTGCCCCAAACCGTTTCCTTGGGGGCAATTCTGCATCTCCTACTCCGAAATCTACCACCTCCTCCTCTCCTGGTTTCTCATCTGAGCATTATGTCCCGCAGGAGTTAAGCACCTATTTATTGATCATGTACTATGCGTGCGAGGTGCTGTGCCAGGCAATGAACAAAACAAAACTCTCCACCCTCAAGGAGCTTCTATTTTGCAGGACACAGGAGCAGGGGAAGGGCCACGGACACGTGGGAAGCGACATCCAGAGTCCAGCCAGTGAGCTCGTGAGGCCCTACCTTGGGGCCGGTTGGGGTGGGGGGGAGACTTTGGTCCGGGGGTGGGGTGGGGTGGGGGGTGTGGCTGGCTGCAAATCAACCGAACGCGGGTAAGGGCACGTCGCCTGGGGCAGGTGCTAGCGAAGGTGGGGGTGGGAGACCTCGCGCAAAGTTTGGCTTCCTGCGGGCCACGGGGTTACCGGACCTGGCACCCATGCGGCGCTCAGTAAATATTTATCGTCAGCGCTGAGAGGCCTCTGGCAGCTTACGCTCCACAGGGGCTGGGGGCCGGCGGGGGCCGGGGGCCGGCTGGGGACTGGGGGCCAGCGGGGACTGGGGGCCGGGGGTCGGCGGGGGCCCTCCCTCATCCCAGTCTCCTCCCCGGCGGGGTCAGCACCGGAGTAGCCGCGGCGTCCGGGCCCCACGTAATTACAGAGGCTGTCGCCAGGCCTGGCCATAAAAGAGGAGGATGAAACGGCCCGGGAAGCTGAGCCTGAGCTGGCCCACAGTTTGGGGGGGGGGGGCTGCGGCTCCCCGCGATGCAGTCTCGTGGAAGGGCTGGGTAGGGGTACACGCATACTCGCAAAACCAGAGGGGGGCGCGCCTACAGTCGTCAAACAACCACACACAGAAGACACTCAGCACTCGACCCTCCCGCTACACACACACACACACACACACACACACACACACACACTCACACACCCCAAATGGAACACCTGCCCGCCCTCTCCGAGGGCCGGAGGCAGACACCCTCCCACCAGCTCCTCTCTAGACAGCCGCCGATCCCGGCAGGGAAGGAACCCTGAGAGGCGAATTCCAATGGGTTTGTTTACATGGCTCGATGGAGGGGGCCGACCTAGGTCCTGGGGCCTGATTGACTGGGACACTCAGCCCAGACTGGGTTAGACCCAGCCGCCCGGCCCTGGGACGCCGCACAGACACCCCGCCCCCACCCCCACAAACACTGCCGCCTGTAAACGTCCCCCCTCCTCTTCACACGCGGTTCACAAACATTAGCATGCGTATGTCAAAGTTTCACACGCTTCCCTACACGCGGCTGTGATACTCCTCACAAATGCTTTCACACTTGCGCGCCATCACACGTATTTACACATGCCAGATGCTCATGTGGGGTTAGAGTGTCACCCGTCATGCCCAGATTCTCACAGTCTCTATCCCAGGCCAGTGCGCACGGTGCACACATGTGTTGTCACACACACCGGTCATGAAGGCCTTTTGGCGCGCCCAAAAGCAAGAGCAGGCCCCTTGCAGACAGAAGCTCCCCAGCGGCACAGGCACTGATGCAGAGACGCTTTAGCCCTGTCCCGCACACGTTACACACTTGGTCACACACAGGGTCGCACTTTATTCCCGGCATCTAGACGCTGACACAATCTCCGGAACAAAGACAACATTGACAAGCCCAACAAAAACAAACAGCCGCGTGTGTGGGGAGGGCTGCGGAGGGCAGAGTGGTGGTGCGGGGGGAGGAGGAGCAGGAGTGTGGGAACGCCGGCACCTGAGCCTGGGTGTGCAAAGCTCCAGAAAGGCGCGGGGCATATCACCCAGCTCGCGCCCGCACGATCCGCGCGGGACGCAACAAAACCCGGCCCCGCACCCACGTGCTTGCAGATCTGTGGGTAAGAGTTGGTTCTCTTCCCCACACGCGACTGCGGGGGCACTCGGACCCACAAAGCTGCAAGCAAACCCGGAAGTGCGAGAACGCACGGCGCAGAGCGGATTGGGCCGGGGAAAGGCGGGCGCTGGGCTGTGCACCGCGCTTCTCCCCTTCCCTCCTCCACCGCCCCAGCCCCCAAGCCCC